ACACACAACACACACACACACACACACACACACCACACAAACCACACACACACACACACACACACACAACACACAACAACACACACACAAACACACACACCACACACACACACACACCACACACACACACACACACACACACACACACACACACAACACACACACACACACACACACACACACACACACACACACACACACACACACACACACACACACACACACACCACACACACACACACACACACACACACACACACACAACACACACACACACACACACACACACACACACACACACACACACATACACATACACATACACATACACATACACATACACATACACATACACATACACACACACACACACACACACATATGTATGTATATGCACGTTGCGCCCGCAAACGGGGACCTTTAAAACTCACGGCCGTCTTGCCCGTCTTGCCAAGGGGTAGAATTGGCTGGCCCGTCTATATATATATACATACATATACATACCCATGTATGAACATACGAAAATTGCATGATATATACATATATATGCATACATACATACATACATACATACATACATACATACATACATACATACATGTATACATACATGTATACAGATACACAGCCCCATTGTGGCCAGGTTTCCTCACCGTGGCTCGGGAGCTTCGAGTCCTTTGGAGCCCTCCTTACCTATCAAGGCAAAGGAGTCATCCGGTTTTTAGGGGTAGCGTGATGGCCTCCCCTCCCCCTCTCCCCCTCTCCCCCTCTCCCCCTCTCCCCATTAGATGGCCCAAAGCCTGCAGCAAGCCGCCCGCTGGGCCAAGGCGACTGCAGACAAAGCACACACACACAGCCGTGCTTGTTTTCGGAGGCTCTGGTGTGTCTTTGAGCTCGCGGCCTACCGAACAGCCAACCCTGCTGGAAAGATTACGATGGCGCCGCTGTTCATCGAAGTCTGCATGGTAATCCTTTGGGCCAGCAGCACCCTCGGATCTCTCTTCTATCAGCTTTCGACCGTTGCACGGTATAGCCAAAGGGTTTCGGTTCCGGCGTTTATCCTTGGCACCATGCCTGCGGTCCTCGCCTTCCATCTCCTACGGCGTTTCTCGCTTCAGAGGCGAAGCCTCCTAGAGGACCTTTCGCAGTTCGACGTGCGTGCGGCGGAGTGTAGAAGTGAGTTCGACAAAGAGTTCATCTATGCGGCAATCACAGAATGGTATGGAACGCCAGAGAAATTCAGCAGTTACGTGCGGGGACCTCTGCGTGAGGAGCTGATTTTTAGTATTCATCAGAGTAGTGCTCCTGTGGCCTACACTTTGCTCGTCACGACACCGCTTGTTGGGGCGGGGCTCGAGAATTGCCTCGGAATGTGGAAAGGAGGTGCCCCCGAGATTAGCTTGGTAACACAGCTGGTGGGAAATGTTATCACGCTGGACATCGTTTGGTATCTAATCGCTGTTCAGGTTGGCATGTTCTTGTGCGACTACTTTACGCCTAAAGGGCGAGGATGCCGTGAGTACATGAAAACATTGCTGATTTGCCTCACATTTGGACTCGTTATCGTCATTGGCGAAGCCATCTCCAGCGAAGCATGCAGTGGTGGGCTCGTCCCCGCGATGGTCTTTTTGGGTTTCACCACGCTGCCGATCTGTTGTGCTGTCTACTTCGCGAAGCGGCTCCTGCGGTACAGAGCAGGCGCAACGTCGGAGTCCGATCCAGCAGATCCAGGCAGCTGATCTTGCAGCAGTGCCCTTGCTGTCAGAGACAGCGGGCCCAGCCATGCATTCCACGTTGCAAGTTTCTTTCACTTGAGACTTGGGACGGTGTTCAAAACAGAGTCCACGGTTCGCCAAGACTTTTACCGAGAGCACAGTTATCTTTCACCCGTTCTCTGCAGGTGTTCCTGGTCGGACAGCGCTTCACCATTGCAGATGCCTCCCTGAGTGTCGCCCTGCATCACCTGCAAAAACAGGCCTGGAACAAGCATCTCACGTCTCATCATCTCTCTTTGCTCTTCCGCCTGAGTTACTCCGAGCCCTTGTGTGCAGGGTTTGGCTACCACGCTTCCGCGTGCAACGAAGCGATGGTTGGGCACCTGCATGGCCCACGAGGTACGTCTCAAAATGGCTTTGTTATGTGACGTGGTGCTGTGATGTACACTGATGTGCCACACATGGTTCAGAGGCAACGTGTTGTCGTGCTCCAGGCCTTCGCCGCCGTCCTCAAGGATGCAAAGTGCGCAGCGGGCGCAAAGCCCTTGGCAGCTGCGCCGGTGGCATCCATGTCCACCTCAGCACCGAGCGTGCCCAAGGCTTGTGTTCCATTGGGCAGATGGGCAGAACACGCAGTAATCACGTCAGGGGATGACACAAACAATTATTCACAAGACTGATGCTGATACACATGATGCAGACAGGCACCGGCTGCAGACCAGCCCTTCCTGGACCGTCGCGGTCTTACAGAGACCAATGTCAGCTTTGGATGGGCAACCGGGCAACGAAGCGGAGTCAGTTGAATTTTCTTTCGGGGCTTTCGAGTTAGGGATCACGGAGCCTGAAACGATAATACACACAGACACACACACACACACACACACATGGCAAGACTGCCATCGGGACTCCGAAAGTTGAGCATCAACATCGTGGCTGAGCCTGAGGCTACAGCAGCGCCGTTGGTGGCCGCTCTGAGATCAAGCGGATCGTGGCAACTGAAGACAAAGGCGCGAGCCTGGTTGGCCAGAAGGCTGGCGCGAGGGTGGCTGCAACCCAGAGCTCACGCAGCAGTACAAGGGGGTCATGAGTGGAATGGAAGTTACCAGTTCAATGCTGCTGTGGCCAGTTTCCGGAGGTCTCCGTGTGTGGCTGGGTGAAGACAGCCAGAGAGGCCGCGGAGTTGTACTTGAGAGGAGTGCACCGCATGTCATCGCATGTCCGTTGTCGAGACGAGCTGGCGGAACAGGCGGACAAGGGAAAGATCATGTTTGTCCAGCTCAACGATGGCTCCACACCTTTGGATATCCAGGCCGCGAGAACCAGATCCTCCAAAGTGGTTCCGAAGCCGATCTGTCAAGAACAGTTACTTGCAGAGGTGGTCATCGACTCAGCGGCCAAGGGCTTCGACAGCCACACACCTGGCCTTTCAGAAGGATGCAGGGTCCTTGACATCCATGTTCAGTTTGCCACTGTGCAGGCCTCAAGGGCAAAGTGGGGACCGGGGCATCGATGAAGTGCACAGGGGAGGCGCGAACGTGCCTTAGACCGCAGCAACATTGGCTCGTGTAGCAAGCAGTGTCACGGACACTGGGCTGTTGCACAGGTTGTGGCCTCACCTGGTGGAAAACAAGCAGTGGAGGTCTTGGTAAAGGACCCTTGCGCAAGCCAATTTTGGTCGCTCGTGGTTGCGACTGGACCTTTGTGCTTCAACCATCTTCAGCCTGTTTGTTGAGTGCCTGTGAGCTGCCAGGGAGAGGGAAGTGAAGTTATCCTCTTCGGCGGTGTGGATGCAAAGGCTCCCTGGCAGTGCAGCAAAATGGCTGACCATTGTTGGAATGAACACATAACCAAGCTTAAGCGCTTCAACCAACTCTCACGTGCCTATTGTGTCCAGGAATATCCGCTCTCGAAGAAGGGACACAGCCATGAGCTTGCGCCCCAGATTCAGTGGGTCTGTACGGACTCAGGACGGTGCAGGAAGTGCCAAAAGCTTATTGATTGGACCAGACGAACAAGGGAAATAGATGAGTTGTGGCTGCAGGTTTTTGCGATCCATCGCGCATCTGCGACCACGGTCGAATTTGATCGGCTGCGCCTCGCGCACAGCTGCACTCAGCAGCATGGACGAAAGGACAGACTTTGCATCCCACGACTGTTAAGTGGAATGGTCTGAGGTCGCGCGAGTGCGTAGTGCTCTGGCACATGCCACCCACGAATTTTTCAGGCTGCCCTTGGGCTCATGCGTCTTACCTGCTCGTCTTGTCTGCCTCGCCAGGTCAAACGGCTTTCTCTACGCCTCACCCTCAGGGGGTTGTCAGGAGAACGTACGAGCCCGAAACTCTGGCCTAATGCCTCGAGCAGAGGTTCACACTCCACTGATCACGGCAGCAGATTGTGAGGGAGCAGGTGAGATGTGGAGCCCTCATTTCAACTGTGGGGTGGCGGTCAAATGGGGTGATCCTTGAGAAATGAATTTTCTGCATGAGCTTTTCGTCTTAGCTTTTCGTCTTAAGGTTCCAGGTGACCACCATGATGGCTGAAGCCGAGAAGCAAGGGAAGCAGCTTCCGATGGTCAATGGCAAGGCTTGGCTGGGAATGCGGATCTTGGAGTGAGGTAGGATCTGTCATCGTCATGGGTTGTCCGACACGGGCCCTTACCTTGTGCAGTTTGACTACACGAAAGACTTCTTCCAAAAACCTGCGTTTCTCACAGTGAGTGGGCAGCGGGGCCCTCGTGAATTCTCAGTGCAGACCACGCTATGACCAAGCTCTTGTCGAAGTGACGGCTCATGACTGAGGCTGTCTGTGGAAAACTACTGCTGCTCCTTGTCCAAGGCAGACGTGACCGGACTTCTCTCTCAAAGCCAGGGCCTCTTGAGGAGGCTGCAGCAACTTGCAGGTCTACACCTTCGGGCCGACCTTTCGGGCCGAGAACTCCCACACGTCCCGGTGCCGCCGGCAAGTTGCGCAAGCTCGTGGCACAAGCAATCAACGAACGCCTCTTTCAAGATCCTCTCGCCCATCTCGCCCATCTCGCCTCTTTTTGGCCTTGGCAGAGGCACCTAGCCGAGTTCTGGATGATTGAGCCGGAGCTTGCCTTTGCCGACATTCATGATGACATGAACGTGGCAGAGGCTGGGCAGACTCCGTCTAGCACCCTAGCTCGTTTTTCCACGAGAAGGAGCAGCCAGTGCGCTGCAGGACTACCTGAAATACTGCGTCAGTTTTGTGATGCAGAACAACAGACAGGCTGGGGATGGACTGGGGACTGCTTTATCCTTCCTGTCTCATGTGGCTAAGGATCTGGAGTTTTTTGAGGACAAGATCGAGAAAGGGCACAGAACCCGGAGCTGAACATTGAAGATAAGATGCCAGGACACAATACGGCCAATATATATATATATATAAATATATTCAGTTGATTTTATTGTTTTAATATGTTTAAACATTTTTTTATCGTCTGCAACGACCTTGGAATGGTCATGAGTCGAAGCTGTAGGCTGATAAAGAGATTGGAGAACTTGCTTGCCGAACCCTTTGCCCGGGTCACCTACACGGAGGCCAGGGAGCTTCCGTGACCCTTGCAGGCCCTTGAAGGCAGCTCACCTCAATCGGCCAGGCGATCGACATTCTCATCAAAGAGTCCCCGAAGGCCAAATTTCAGGTGGACCCGGCACTCATTGGGTTGGGGCTACCCTAAACCCTAAACCCCTAAACCCTAAACCCTAAACCCTAAACCCTAAACCCTAAACCCTAAACCCTAAACCCTAAACCCTAAACCCTAAATCCTAAACCCTAAACCGCATGGTATCGTTACGTTGAGCAAAAAAAAACCCTCAGGTGCCTGTGGAGTGGGGGATGGACCTCGGCTCTGAGCATGAACGGCATTTGGCAGAGAAGGCACTGCCACCCCCCTCCTGGGGTGCCAAAAAAGCCATTCTTTGCTTTTTTGCACGTTTTGAAAACACCGCACCTGAAAGTGCTGTCCGCCGGCAGAGCCTTCTCAAGTGCTGTGTGCGAGAATGGCTTGACTCAAGTGGGAGCAGGTCTTCAAGAAGCCCACAGCAGTGTACAACTACCCGAAGGCGGCGCAGGGTGCCTCAACGCGCGTGTGTGCTTCGGACTTCGAGCTCGATGCTGCAGGACATAAAGGCCTTTTACATGAGGCTCAACGAGGACGAGTCTGAGAGATCTGTGCAGCTGACGCTTCAGTGTCTCAGCATCACTCACAGAGCTGAAAGACTCGCAGGATAACAAGACTGTCGCAGCCATGGATGTCCTCGCGCCAGCGATAGGGGAGGCTGTTGACGTGTGTGTACGTATCTATGTATTTACGTATGTACGTATGTATGCATGTGTGTATGTGTGCATGTATGTCTGTGTACGTGTGCATGTCTGCATGCGCCTCTCGGTGTCTCCCTCTTTCTCTCTCTGTCATAGATTTCATATTTCTGGCAAGTGAAGTTCGACCACATGACCACAGGTCATTGGAGGCTCCCAGCGCGAAGAGAGGCTCGTGCTACTTGTTACCTAGTCCGTTTCCGCGTTAGTCCGGAATTGCAATGGATGTAAGTTTTTTGGAAATCATTTCAGGCTGGATGTGTTGGACCGACGCATTACGGAAATGGATCTCAACCCACAGGATTACTGGTGGTGCGCCGGGCATGGGATCTCTACACCTAGCGACAATCTGCGCTGTCTTCAAGTCGCCGTGACCCTCCGTGGTCAGGTACAGAGATCTGAGACGTTATGGCTCTGTGCCGCACGCTGGCTTTGGCCTGGGCTTCGAACGACTGATCATGCTGCTTCTTGGCTGCATGTATCGAAAGCTTACATGTCAAGCTGCCGCACGAAGTTGTGTCAAAGTGCAGAGACGCTGAAAGGACGACTGGCGTTGAAAACATCCGCGACGTCATTCCTTACCCACGGTCGCCAGTCTTATCTAGCAGTATGTTGCGCCAGCTTTCCTGGCCACCGCAGCACAGGGTCACAGCTGTATTTGCAACTAAGTTTCAGTCCGTTTGAAACCCGCCTTCTTCTTCTTCTTATTATTATTGTTATTATCATCATGATTATTATGACTATTATTATTATTGTTACTTTTTATCAGCTGGAGGTACCCTGGACATGCAGAATTCTGAGAGAGGATTCTCCAAGAGTGCGGGACTCTGCCTCCGCACTTCGCCCCCGTGTACAGCAGCAAAAAAGCGGTTCTTAGGAAAATGCCAGAGGAGCACTCAGGACTCAACGGGTGTGAACGTTTTGTGAATGTTGGAACATGTTAGAACCAGGGGGCGCTTCGCCGCACTTTTTGTTCTCGAAGATTGCCTTCGCAGCCGAGTCTCAGGTCAGGGGAGATTCAGATTTGGGCATAGGACAAGTCGGACAAGTCCCAAGCGGTTGTATCCATAGCGAGAAATCCATGGTTCGGGCTTATGGCCGCTGTGAGCTGCGAGTGCTTCTGGTCGACCCACGATGCTCCTGCCTGAGATCTGGAGACCTCTCCAAGCTCACATCACGCACCCCATCCTTCTGTCTGCTCTTGGGCTGTTCGGCCCCGAAGGCCTCGGCAGCCAGCCCTGCGAGCATTGAAGCGGCGCCTGGAAATACCGACAACGAATGGAGAAGCCTCGAGCCTTTCGAGGCAAGGAGAAGCTGATTGCTGATTGCTGGTAGAAATGCATTGGCTGATGTCATCGAGCCCTAAAGCTCGTCGTTCAGGCTTCCTGCGCCTGGGCCAAGACACACCTCGCGACGGCTGCTGCTGTGGCCGCATGGCGGCTGACCGGCTGCCACTTGGCTGCACCACCAATGCACCACTCCTTCTACCTTTCTACGCGTAGAGACTCAGAGCCCAGATGAGGCCAGGAAGTGTGAGGTGCGTGTGCAGTAGCAACTTGCCGTTTCTGAGGCGATACTGTGCAACTGGCAGTTTGCTTCACCGGCAAGGAGGTGCGTTAATGTGTCTGTGTGAACCTAAAACTGAAGGCGGGAGCACTCGTGAGTTTCGCCAGGCGCCTTTGCTGTCCTTTCGCCGAAAGGGCATCGTGTCGCTTCAAGAAGTGGAAGAGCAAGTGCAGCAAGCACTGTTGGCTCTCAAGGCCCTTGACATCACCCTCCTGTGGACTTTGTGCAGCAGCTCTAATTGAGATGTTCTTACATGCCAGGAGGCGCCCTTGCCGGCGGCCTTGCTGGCTTCTCCGACGTGCAGCAGCAGCAGCAGCAGCAGCATCAGCAGCAGCAGCACCAGTGGCAGCCGGGGCTTCGCAACAATATGCGCCTTGACACGAGACCATGCCGCCACAAGAAGTAACGAGTGTCAAACAAACGGTGCCCTTCATAAAAAAGATGCGTGATGGTGCTCCATATTGCTCCATGCTCAGGCACCGAAGCCTGGGATGGAGCAGGAGACGTGTTGCAGTTACATCTCACACCATGCAGAAGGCACACAGCTTGTTTTTGTGCTTCACCTTCGTACGGATGAAGAACAAACGCGGCTGGCAGGTCCCAGCCTTCCTCGATGGACGTGCAGGTGCGATTTCGGCAGATCGACGGCAACAAGGCCAGAGAAGAGTAGAGATCGCACTCTGCAGGTCCCAGTGGTGGGCCCATCCATGGCATGCCCCAACTCCAATGACTCCCCGCTCGCCTTTGCGAAGCACCCAATAGCCTCGTGATGCCTCGATTATTCTGATAAGTGCTATCATAATTGCTATTATTCTCTTACTATTATTATTATTATTATTACTACTAATTGTTATCATTACTATTATTATTACTATTAATATTATCACTATTACTATTACTATTATTGTTATTACTTTTATTATTACTACTATTATTATTACTATTATTATTATTACTATTATTATTACTATTATTATTACTATTATTATTACTATTATTATTACTATTATTATTACTATTATTATTACTATTATTATTACTATTATTATTTTTACCAGTATTACTATGATTATCACTATTATTATTACGGTTTTTATTATTTTTACCCTCAATGGTGTTTTTTGATTCTCACGGCAAGGCTTGGGTCTTTGGCAAGGCGCTAGAAGGCATCCTCGAAGCCTGGGGCCACGGTCAAGGCCTGCTCTTCGTGTGCACTCGTTTCAAGCTGGGTTTAGGGTTTTAGGGTTTTAGGGTTTTAGGGTCTAGGGTTTAGGGTTTTAGGGTTTTAGGGTTTTAGGGTTTTAGGGTTTTAGGGTTTTAGGGTTTTAGGGTTTTAGGGTTTTAGGGTCTTAGGGTTTAGGAAGTTCTTTACTTCTTGGGGAACTTGTTCTCTCCACCCACCTGTCTCGGAGGTTGTGCGCCCATATCCGAGCTGGCTTTGTGCACAGGGAGGACCCTGAGAACTGTGATGCCAAGACAGAAAAAAGTATCGGACACTCCAAGATTGCATGCAAATTTTGGTGCCATGTAAGCAAACGAGATGTTTGACGAGCACCTCAAAGGAGTGGGAATGGCGTGCATGGACTTGCGGCATGCGCACGCTGTACTGAATGGGCTGAATCGTTGAATAGAAAGGCATGGTTCTCGCTGCGCGACAGCCCCGACTCGTTTGTTTTGCTGTTGATTACCTGTACTCCTGATTCTTCATTCAAGTCATGCATCGCTTCACGTGCTGTGAGGGGTGGCTCACTCGCACCTGCATACTGCAATCATTTCCCATGCTCGATAAGCTTCTTCATAACACAGATGCATTGGCTGGAGCTTTCTTTGAAGCAGCGTTGCTTCAGAAGGTCGTCAGCTCCTTCAGTGGGAGTAAGCCACGTAGCCTGAGAGGATTCAGCAAGTGTTGGTGCACGACTTCAACCAGACCCAGCATCCATTTGCAGGCCGGCTGCCCACTTCGCAAGGTCAGGGTTGAGGTTGTTTCGAAGATCTGCCAGCATGGGCTATTATACCCTATAACTTTATAACCCCCCAAAAAGGGCCCTTTATAGGGTTGTTTATGGGGATTGGAAGGCCGAATGGCCCATCCTGTTGGGAAACACGTGGCGTCATGGTGCACGAGCCAAGGCAATGGGCACCTCGTCGGACAAAGTTGGGGCCAAGGGCGAGGAGACGTATACCTTAATGCCCCGATTACATACGCTGCATTGATGTCACTTCGCGATTCCAAAATCTAGTTCAACATGCTGTTGCCGGTCATACACATCAGAGGCTTTTGCTGCACGAAGTGATATCCTGGCGAGCAGCCACTCTTCCAGAGGACGGATTTCTGCACCCGTTCTGCAGACTGTTTGCGTCTGCGGGCTGCAAGCCTTGTCCAATACTACCGACCACCCCACATGCGGGCAGGCCCATGTCGCAATCGAAGAGCCGGATGCAACGGCGAGCCCTCGTCCGTGTGCTGCTGTGTGACTCTATGCCTCGGGCTGTTCTCTGGCCAATTCTCTTGGCAGACCGTGACCTACACCGCCCTCCTCAAGCTGACCGGAGCGCTGGCGCGGGCGCTGCGGAGCGCCGCCGCACGGAAGCTGCAAGGCCCAGCCCGGGCACATTGGGCTTGGGGTTTAGGGTTTAGGGAGTTTTAGGGAGATTCCTTGGGACCACTCTCGGGACCTGGAACCACCCTATGCGTTCGACGGCAGGCGACATGGAGTTTGTATGCTTTGAAGAGGTAGTGGCCCTGTGGCCCTCTGGCTTCCACGGAATCGGCATGCGGTAGCCTTGGCGCTGGCGGCGGTGGAAGTCGCTTGGTCTGCAGGTTGCGTCAAAATTGCCTCAGGTTTCCTGTCTCATGGCTCTTGTTGCGATGTCCACTTTCCCAGGCAGGTCAGGGCTACCTGCCCTGTGATGAGAAGCTTCCTGCCCGGCGGGTGCCTTGATGAGGGAGCAGAAGTCCAGGGTCTTCCGCAGCGCCCTCCAGCAAAACGACACCTTGCCTGTTCCTGTCTTAAATGCTCACATGATCCCCTAAGTCATGACTATTGCCTTGGTACTTTTGTAGGATTTTTGATTGAAGCCCACGCATATAAGCTATCTGCCAGGTGCTGCACGGATAGACATCCTGAAGGTTGACCCGATTGCTGCAAGCAGGTGTTGGCGATGCTGACCACGGCGGGTGCTGGCATGCTGGTGGCCTCACCGCAGCTGGTCGAGGCCGCGACGAAGCGATGGCTGATTGTTGTTCATGCCGCTCTCGAAAGTCGTCGCATCGCGCATCAGGAACAGGCAAGACTGGAGGAAGTTCGAGGAGGCAAAGGCGATCACTGGCCGGTGACTGTAGAATCTGCGATCCGCGCAGGCTTCCAGCTGGTCGTGGAAGCTGAAGGCTTCGTCGCGGCGGCTGAGCAGGGCAATGCTGAGGCCTGCGTGCCAGTCAGGGAGAGGTGTCCAACAAGACTAATGACTAACATGTACAAGCAACTATAACCAAAGATCAACGTGAAAGCAAATCACGATATCTACAACGAATGTAGATCAGCTGATCTGCGCGTGTGTCGTTATTTACATACAAGACTGAACACGCACTGTAGTTCAACATGGAAAAGATGCATGGGACGCAGATAGACAGAAACAATAGCAAAAACAAGAAAAGGAACGAAACGAACGAAAGGAAGCACGAGAACCCCAAGTCCGCAAGACTCTCGCCTCGAGCGCCGTCGGTGCTCTGCTTAGAGGGGACACACGTGAAGGAATGAAGGAATGAAGGAATGAAGGAATGAAGGAATGAAGGAATGAAGGAATGAAGGAATGAAGGAATGAAGGAATGAAGGAATGAAGGAGTGAAGGAGTGAAGGAATGAAGATAGAGCGAGTCGTTTAATAAAGAGTCGTCTAGGCCACAAGGAGATAAGCCCGTGCAATTGTCCCGGAGCTGTGGGGCTCGCCTCTGGGCGGCAAGGTGACGTCATAATGCTCTTGATCCAATGCCCCTGGCGATGGTAGAGCTTTCGTCCCACCCTCCCCCCGCTGTGCGTTTCAAGTTCTTCTCATTATTGCTACTACTATGGTTCTTATTCTTGCTACCGCAAGACTCCTTGTCAATATGACTATCATTAAGGACATTAGTTATTAAGACTGCTATTTATGCTTGCGGCTATCGTTCTACTTTTCTCTGCCTCTACTCCTCCTCCTGCTCCTCCTCCTCCTCCCCCCCCCTACTACTTCTTCTTCTA